TTGGCCGGTCTGTTGCATATTCTTGCACGCACAAGAGCCCAATTTGAATGCATCTCATAACTTCATGAGTCGAATACGACTGGTTCAGTGATGAATCAACTATGTCCAAGACTTTTCCCTCTGTCCACAAGTCCCATATCTGAAACAAGTTTGACTACAATGTTTAGATCATTGGACTATTCGAGAGTTAGATTCATCGTTTCAAAAGTTATACGTTTACTTACAATTCCAACCAAATTCAGAGAGGAGTTTTCGAATTGGAAACTGTTCTTCCTGCCGCTAATGATCTCTAGTGCCAAGACTCCGAAGCTAAACACATCGGATTTTGTGGAATATAGCCCATCCATAGCATACTCTGGTGACATGTAACCGCTGCAATCACACAATATCAGTACTAAAAAAGCATCGACTCTACTTGACTTTTATTTCGAGAGAGAGGAGGGAATTACTAGGTGCCAACAACTCTGTTCGTGTTTGCTTCAATTTGATCATCCCCGAACATTCTTGCCATGCCAAAATCTGATATTTTTGGGTTCATCGAACCATCCAGTAAAACATTGCTTGCCTTCAAATCCCTGTGGATTATTTTTAGTCTTGAATCTTGATGAAGATATAGGACGCCTCGAGCAATCCCAATGATAATTTGAAACCGCTTTCTCCAATCTAACGATGACTTTCTGTTTTTATCTGAACACAACACATAAAAGCTTCTATTGGCTACAAGTTTAGGATTTCTTAATTTCTGCATGTATTCATAGATTGCATACCGAAAATGCATAAGTCCAAGCTGCGATTCGGCATGTATTCATAGATTAGCATCCTCTCTTCTTTATGAATGCACCAACCCAAAAGTCTCACAAGATTTCTATGCTGAAGCTTTGCTATAAGCATTACTTCATTCTTGAATTCATCTACGCCTTGGCCTGAATTTCTAGATAATCTTTTGACAGCTATGTCCTGTCCATCAGCTAGACATCCCTGAAATCACAGTGAAGACTCGACAATCTTAATGACAACTTCAGATCGATATAATGTTTACATCCAATTCTGTCTTATCTGCCTCAATGTCACAGAGCTATGTATTGGTATATTTGCAGCAGAGTAAACAAAGTACACGGAAGCGTATTTCACATTTTATTTGAAGCCACACAATGCTGAGACACTCAAAATGTTCTAGGGAAAGTACCTTATATACCGTGCCGAAGCCGCCATGTCCAAGCATGTTAGCAAAAGAGAAGTTTTCTGTGGCTGCAACCACAGTGGTTAAATCGAAAAAAGGTAAATCTGTCTCTCCTTTGTGTTCATCAACCTCATTTTTTATTGGCAAATCTTCATAGCTTCGTGAACCAGAAGCAGTGGGATCATTCCGAAATTTGGGTTGTCCTCCTCTCCCTGTTTCAATTCCATCGAAATTTCAGGGTATAAAAAGTTTCACAAAGAAAATGAAACTGAGCTGAAATAAAGCTGCAAAACAAATTTACAAGACGATAGAAGGGGAAACTTTTCCTTTTCGCATACCTTTCCTGCTCCTTTTCCTGAACCAACATAGAACTGCGAGGATGAGCAATGAGGCGACAGAAATTGACACTACCAATATAATAGCCAGTCGCCTTCTCCCGGAAAAATACCCTCCTCCTGACTTGTTTTTATACTGAGCTGAAAAAAAGAAAAAAAAAATCAATTCACTAGTGCTATGAATGGTATGAAGTTGAAACATGTAATTGACGCAATTTTTAGGAAAATAAGGTACCTAAAACTACTGCATCTGCGCGAATATACAAATTTTGCCCGCCTTCTGTGAACTGCTTAGTATCCATCAAATCTCTATACCATGTCATGCATCCAGTCCCTCCATTCCTCACATCTGCACTTGCATATGCCAAGCATGAGCAGTTCTTCAAGCACTCCTCCTTGCACGCTTCTAAGCTCAAATTATTCTCCAGTTTTATAGAGGACGTGTCTGGAACCTTTACATTTTCCATCTTCACAAACCCCTCGCCGTTCCTACACATGGACCGCAAGCCCTGCTGCCTCTTGCACCCGCCCCTCCCGTCTTTCAAATCCCAATCCTTTGGTGATATTGGTTCATATCCGGGGTAACATGTGCAGTTGAATCCAATGTTAGTAGGATTGCAATTGCCGAATTTACCACACTTGCCATAGCTGTCACAGGCATCCAATGGCGCCGACCAAAGTAAAACCCACTGGTTTTGCTGCTCTTGCCATACTAGGTGGTTGAGTGTTCCCGACCCGTCTATTTTGTTCAATGAGTAAATCGAAGGGTCAAGAACAGTCCACTGCACAGCAACTTCATCTGTGTTGTTCACAAAATTGATCTTAAACACATCGCTCCGCTGCACAGCAGGTATGCCCCCCCATTGAATCCCGTCCCACTGTCCTGACCTCCACCACTTAGCCTCATTCTTGTACAAGATCAACTGTGGCGATCCATTCAGGTCCATTCTCAATGAAACGTTCCCCATCCCAGGATCATTGTCCGAGTTCCAACACGTGAGGAACCGGTTTATGCCACTTCTTCTGTCCAACCCGATTTTCATTTTCGAAAGAAGAATATTTGTAGGGTGATCAGTGCTCTGCCAAAAAACATCCTGGCTGCCTTGTTTAGCCAAAACAAGGCTTCCCGAATCAAGAATTTGCGCAAAAATATTATCGTTGCTCGCTAATGATATCGAAACATTTGTTGACCACAGAGGAACAAGGCCTTGGCTGGTATTGGCTTGCAGCACTAGGTTTCCATCAAAACCTATTGAGAGAACTCCTGAGCTGCCATTGATGGGATTATCCCTGTTGGCTACCCACACAACCATGTCTTCCGAAAACTTGTACCAAATTCCGACATAGCGGTTGGTCGATATTTTGGGACTAAAGAATCCCAGGACAAAGGTGCCATTCTTGGACACCAAGAAATCACCGTCTCCGACGGGTTGATCAAATTTTATGGTGTCCAAGGAAGAGCAGAGCTGGAGAAGGAGGAGCTGAAGAATTAAAACATTTAGCAGACCTTTCACAAAATGCATTATTGCAGAACAAAGGTTTGCCAAGTACTACTGATTGCTTGCTAAATGTATTATATATTGATTAAGTAATCTTGTACGTTGCAATTGTTATTTTTGTCATTGATGCAATGTGAACCTACCGCGACTTCCAGTCGTTGATGCAACAGTCAACTCACCGGCTATTTCCAATCTTGCACGCAGTTAGAAATTTCCCCTTCACTAATTCTGACCACACGTCATTAGCCGCCACTGTAGAACTCGTAGTTTTATGTTGAGAATTCTAAACGAGTTGCACACGGCCATTTATACACCGTTGATTGTTTCAATAATTTATGACTAGTACTTCTTTTCAGAGAATTGATTTCTGTACGTAGACATGCACATTGCTCCATCTCCAACTTTTCTATACACGCCTTAGATTTGACCGTAGTAGCATACTTGAATTAGGAATACTAGGAATTAAAAGGTCCGCCGAATTTGAAAAAGTCCAAGCTTTTGTGTGAAGGCATGCATGCATCAACCAAAAAGCCACAAGAAGTGTTTTTTTATTTATTTTTATTTAAATTTTGTGAGTTCGAACATCAACAAGGTTATTTAACATAAGACTTGGAGTAAAACCGAATGCTGTAATGTTCTAAGATTCATACAGCCGACTCCACCTAATGGGATAAAGCTTGGTTGAGGTTCACTTTGCTTAGAGAATCTTTATTTTCAAAGAATGGTAGATTTTGTTCACCCTTTCTTCACACATTAACAAATTGTATGCGCTTAATATTATCTTTTGCAAACTACTACTGGTACATATATCTTGTGGAACATTTTTGATATCCTAGATCTTTTTTTAGCGAGCTTCTTTTTCTGTACATGTCACCTTCAGTACTTGTTGATTGATCTCCACTAGTATAATTCCTCCTCAATAAAAATGCAGGCTGGAAAACAACCGACGACATGGTTGGCCGATCAGTAGCATACTCTTGAGCACACAAAAGGGCAATTGTATGCATCTCACAACTTCGTTTATGACATAATCTTTTATATCATTCAAACATAATGTTTCATACAATTTGTATTCCCGCAGTAACGCGCATGCAACATTTCTAATAACATCCAAAGGTTCAATGTGTTCCCAGCATCCCGCTCAGCCTTGATTAATTAACCACGTCACTTAGAACATGCCAAATCACCTTTGTGTCCCGTCCTAAACTTTTTCTTTTGATTGCGGGTTAACACATGGCCTGATTAGTGTCTGAGTCGGCCTGCTCCTAAAATCTTGTGTCATAAAGTTGTTAGCCTTCCTAAATGTCTTTGGCGGTCAAAAAATACTTTTATGTAGCCTGATCGGACTGATAATGAGTGTTGCAAATAATTTATAGCCTGTATTTACAACAAGACAGATGATGAGTATTGTAGATATAAAACTTTGATCCCCAATTATAAGGCATATATTTTATAACGTGTATTTACAACAAAACAGATGATGAGTGTTGCAAATTAATATAGAACTTAGATCCCTAGTTATAACTAAAAATATCAATAAAGCTGTCCGTTGTGTTGGGAATGTGTGAAGCCATTGTTTCGGGCGTAACCTTAGCCAGAGAGGGCTACCACCAATAGGGAAAGCTAGTACAAACATTAACAAAAATTGGAGAAGGCTATCTGTTGGGCCTGGTGAAGGGACACATTCGGGTAAGTGCTTACCTGATTTCTTAACTGGGAGGAGTACCGCTCTTATGGGGTTAAAGCTACTACACATATAACTTCCACCATAACTGACTGTAAGACTACTGGTGTTGAAGTTTACTTGGTTAGCTTCTAGCGACAGAGGCTCTAAGTGTTTCAATAGGAATTCAACTGGTCTCTCGTCTAACAGATTTTAAGTACTTCCACCTAAATTGTATTATTGAATGAAACGCCATATTACTAAACTCATTCTTTCTTGTAAGAAAAAGTTCTCTAATTTTAAATTATTCACAATCCAAGTAATACTTTCTCCAAACTTCAACTATAATGCACATATCCTCACAATATTCTTCATATATAAGAGCCTATAACTGCACTGAAAACATGGAAACAATACAATAAGAAGGGGTTTCACAAGTAACTGATAACGAGAACACGGTTTCACAGCCTGAACACGGTTTCACAGCCTACATTTATGTATTCTTCCTTGTGGACAGACTTGTAACAACTCTTAGAGATGAATCTCAAGGGGCTAACCTATTGCTTTTATGATTACTTCTTCTAATGACATCGTTTGTGATCACGAGATCTATGACCTGCATGGTGCCTCGTGGTTCCTTCCAGATTCTTTGTCACCATCGGATGAATCTGTGGCATCATCCAAGCCACTCGAGTGTCTCCTGTGGCTTGATTGGCTGCTACCCTGCCGTGGTCTGTTATCACCGTCAAGCTTGCCATCTTTGTTTCTAGACTTTCTCCTTGATTTTCCATGTTCGGAATGAGTTACCCTGTCAGATTTTTCGTCTTCTTCCTGGCCAATTTTACCCTAGTAGTAGAGTTCCGAATCAAAATCACTTGATTCATCTCTTCCTTTAGATGGACCTGGCCTGCCAGAATCGCCACTCTCTCAACTTCCAGCCTTTCTTTTACACGTATGGTATATCTCATTCTCAACGGAACTATTTTCGGGTTCCCAGCGATCCTCTTTGTCCGTGAGTACATCAGAGTTGCATCTTATATCATCTAGACCCACACTGCTGGACTCATGGGTTCCACCTGATTTCAAATTTTCAACTAGAGAATCAGCTTCCCTCATCTCTATGCTCAAATGATCACGCCTATGTTTCAAATCTAGTGTTGGGACTTTATCATCATCTGAAATATATGACACTTCATCTAAGCGTTTTGATCGTTTCCCAGCATGACTACGGGGCCTTTCTGCATCGTTTTCTAACAGATCATCACTTATGTCAGTACTACAGGACCTGGTGGTTCTTTCCCTGTGATTTGAGAATTTACAAGCTTTGCTGGAGTGTGGCGAGGGTCCCATGCTTTTCCTCCTACTGTGATGCTCATCACCTTTCATGTTGCTGTCTGACCGCTCTCCATCAGTGTCATGAGCTCTGTTCTTGATGTCCTTATGATCACCCCGACATCTCACTTTCCTCTTTTGCCCAGAATGTCTACCATTGTCATGGTATGCGGCATCTTTGTCTCTGTCCCTATCTGACCAGTCCCAATTCACTTCATGATTTTTGTTCTCCCGATCCCTATATTCATCCGGGGATTCTACTTTCCGCTGTTGGCTTGAGCTTTTCCTGGTACCATGCTGTGCTATTCTGTTCCGTTGCGACAAATCCCCATCAGATTCAGTTTCATAGGTTTTGTTCTTATCATCCCTGTTTTGCTGTCTTGAGCTACGCCTAGTATGTCCACGGTGTGTGTCTCTATCTATTTCCCTTTCCAACAATTCTCCATCAGATTCAGTATCCCACTTTCTGCTCCTCCTAGGGTTGTAGTCTCTTAAGTTCTTGCTCTCTTCACATAGATCCTCATCACCTGTATGCTTCTGACGGCATGTTCCCTCTAGAACATAATTTCATTGTCACATCTTCTACCAGAATCACTGTCCCTCCCTCTAGACCTAGATCTTCGCAAGCCGTACCTGCCATGAATCTGGAAACTATGAGAACCTAACAGAGACCAAGAAGTTCCACAAATTATTGTACTGTCCATCAGCACCTAACAGAAAACTACGCCCTCATAGAAAATCATAATACATAAAATAATTAAATCACGAGATGATAGATTACACAAACTTAACCCAAATTAAACGATGGGCACTTCAAGCACCTGGAAAAATTTAGCACAACAAATTAATTCCTGAATGTGGGCAGTTGTAGTGTCACGTTACCATCACCTGCCTGCTGCTTCCTACCAAAATTATTTACTTGCATCAGATGTATAATTGTACATAATTGGAACATGATATATAGCTTAAGGTATTTTTATGTGCTATATAATCCCGGGCACGAAAACAAGACAAAATTACTACAATGCAAACTCTCACATGCATGTTGGTCTGTCTCTCCATCCCCCTTGCATGGAATTCGACGTAAATTGGGAGGTTGCAGTTGTAGGGATTGAATGAAAAATCACCCAATCTAATACCATGATAATTTATCCCGGTAGGATGCAGGCCAAGTATTGTTTTATATTCCAACAGCTACATTAACATACATCTCACAAGTACGTTATACAACACATTCAACAGCTGCTGCTTAAAGTAAAGCATACCTCTCAGAATCTCCCAATGACTTCTTGCTAGAGTTCCTCCGCTGTCCAGAATTTTCTTCTACCATTGGTTTATCATCTGCATCAGAATAACCAAATAAAGCAACCATTTTTCTCGCCCAAAATTTTGGGGGTGGTCTATCACCATCAGCCCATTCATAGTCTCCACCAGGATTGCGGAAACAGTGGATAAAATTGCAAGCTGTACCACGGGAACATGTCTGCAACATTAAACAAGAATGATTATCAACAAGAGAATCCTCAGACTTCAAGGTTAGAATTGACATATTAAAGTCAAAACTTATTTTATTACTCCAAAACAAAATTCTGTAAAATCTTATTCAATCTGAAAAGTGTTAGGAATGTCGGTACTACAAGATAGAGAATGCACAAGGTAAAGTAGAAAATGGACACCAAGAATTTATGTGGTTCGGCAATTTATGCCTACGTCCACCAAACAAGGATCAATCTTCACTATATGAAAAAGATGAATACAACAAGAGTAGTCTTACCAAGCCAAAGACAAGGCTTGATGGATACAAGAAAGTAGGACACACACTTTCTATCACACTAAACTTCACTCACACAATGTGTAGTGGAACACTCTCACTCTCACTCTTGGAGTGGAACTCTAGCTTTGGACTTGATCCTTTGCTACTCACTACTCTCTTGATTTGTTGGTTCACTACAACATCACACCCATATTTATAGGTGAGGGTTTGGCATTCTACTAGTTTCTAGTGTATTCTTCAAACCTCTAGCATAGAAAGATCTAGACTAGCCACAAAAGTGTGGCTTCTAGATCTTTCCATTTGCAACCAAGGAAGCTAGTACTCTCTAGCTTCTTCCATCAACTTAATAACATGCTAGAATTGTCTAGCATGCTCCAGCCATCTCTCTTGCTTACTAGAATAATCTAGAACATTGATCATGGGCTGGACCATATACCAACAATCTCCCCCTCCAGTCCATGAGGGAGGAATTCCGATCATGACTCCAAGTTACCTGGAGTCCATCCCAGCAGCCTTAATGCAGAATTCCAACTTTGATTTTGTGACCACCTTTGTCAACATGTCTGAAGAATTATTATCGGTATGAATCTTCTTCAGCTGTAGCATCTTGTTCTCGATAGCATCTCTAATCCAGTGATAACGAATATCAATGTGCTTGGTGCGTGAATGGTATGCAGTGTTCTTGCTCAAATCCAGAGCACTCTGACTATCACAATAAAACGCCATAATCACTTTGCTTAAAACCCAACTCTTGGAGAAACCGCTTCAGCCACAACAACTCCTTGCATGCTTCTGTAGCGGCTATGTATTCAGCCTCGGTTGTAGACAAAGCAACACACTTTTGCAACTTGGATTGCCAAGACACGGCTCCCCCTGCAAAAGTAAACAAGTACCCAGACGTAGATTTTCTGCCATCCAGGTCACCTCCCATGTCAGCATCTGTAAATCCTTCCAAGATTGGTTTTTGGAACCGCCAAAGCACAAGCACATCTTAGAAGTCCCCTTCAAATATCTGAGAATCCACTTAACAGCTTCCCAATGGTCTTTCCCTGGATTAGAGAGAAACCTGCTCACCACACCTACTGCATGAGCAATATCTGGCCGTGTGCACACCATTGCATACATGATACTTCCTACTGCTGAAGAGTAGGGAACAAACTGCCATTTTCTCCTTTTCTTCATATGTTTTTGGACACGACTCTTTGCTCAACTTGATTATGATTGGCTAAAGGTGAGCTTACCGATTTGGCTGCTTTCATGTTGAACCTTTCAAGCACCCGTTCAACATATTTTTCTTGTGACAGCCACAACTTCTTGGATTTTCTGTCACGAATTATCTCCATGCCCAAAATCTGCTTGGCTGGCCCTAAGTCCTTCATGTCAAAGGACTTAGATAACTCTTCTTTGAGCTTTTTAATCATAAAAGCATCTTGACCGACAATCAACATGTCATCAACATAAAGCAACAAAATGATGAATTTACCTCCAGAAAATTGTTTGATATAGACACAAGAGTCAGCATGAGTTCTCTTTGTACCCATTACTCACCATGAATGAGAGTTGAACTTCTTATTCCACTGTCTCGGAGCCTGCTTAAGACCATATAAGCTTTTCTTGAGCTTGCACACCAAAGTTTCTTTACCCTTGACTTCAAAGCCTTTGGTTGCTCCATATATATCTCCTCTTCTAAGTTACCGTGGAGAAATGCAGTTTTAACGTCTAACTGCTCGAGCTCAAGATCCATGCTTGCTGCCATACCAAGGATAACTCGAATGGAAGTCATCTTCACCACCGGTGAGAAAATCTCATCAAAGTCAACTCCTTTCTTTTGACCAAAACCTTTGACAACCAAACGAGCCTTGTACCTTGTCATGTTGTCGTCATTTTTCAATTTGAACACCCACTTGTTTTTCAATGCTTTTCTGCCCTTTGGAAGCTCCACCAGCTCATAGGTATTATTCTTTAATAAGGAATCCATCTCTGACTCCATTGCCTTCATCCATTTATCACTGTCGTTATGAGCTCTGGCCTCCTCATAAGTTTCGGGCTCTCCATAATTAGTCAACATGATATACTCTGATGAAGAATACTTGGTAGACGGTCTTCGACTTCTGCTGGATCTTCTGACCTGATCTTCATTCTCTTGCGGGGCTAGAGGCTCCCCCTGATTGGATTCTCCTTGAATCTGCTCTTCTTGACTAGGCTCCCCCTGATCAGCAATCTCATGGTCTGGCACATCTTGATCAGGCTCCTCTTGATCAGCATTATCTGATTCTGCAGGCACTTCATTGGCAGTTGCTTCAGGGATGTCATCGTGACTTTCTTCATCTGAAGCTAATGGATCAACTCCTCTGACTGCGCCATCTGGTTGTGCCTCTTTTATCCGAATCCCCAATTGTTTGATCTTCATAAAAGACCACGTCTCTACTTCGGATAAACTTCTTCTGGTATGGGTCCCATAATCTGTAACCAAAATCTTCACCGCCATAACCAAGAAAGATGCACGGTGTAGCTTTGTAGTCTAACTTCGATCTCTGCTCTTTGGGCACATGCACAAAAGCTTTGCAACCAAACACCTTCAGATGAGAGTAAGACACATCATTACCAGTCCATACTCTCTCTGGAACATCAAGACCTAATGGTACTGATGGAGATCGGTTGATCAAATAGCAGGCTGTCCTTACAGCTTCACCCCAGAACTGCTTAGATAACTTTGCAGTCCTCAACATACACCTGACTTTCTCCATGATGGTTCGGTTCATTCTTTCAGCAACACCGTTATGTTGTGGAGTTCCAGGAACTGTCTTCTCATGACGTATGCCATGTTTTACACAATACTCTCTAAACTGGTGAGATGTGTACTCGCCGCCGTTGTCGCTACGAAGGCACTTAAGAGGTTTCCCAATTTCCCTCTCCACCATGGCATGGAACTCCTGGAATGTCTGAACACACTGGTCTTTGGATTTCAACAAATACACCCACACCCTTCGTGAAGCATCATCAATATAAGTAACAAAATATTTATTTCTTCCAAGTGACTCGACTTCCATGGGACCACACACACATCTGAATAAACAAGATCTAACAAGTTTCCTTTTCTTTGTAGATGGAACAGAAAAACTAACTCTTCTTTGTTTTCCGAATAAACAATGCTCACAAGAGTTTAACGACGTACCTTTGGCAAAGGGAATATGAGACTTCTTTGCCAAAACTTGTAGGCCTTTCTCGCTCATGTGGCCTAGCCTCTTATGCCACAAGTCTAGAGATGAGTCTTCCACAGCATTCAACTCACCTTTCAAAACCTTGGCATTTGACCGGTACAACGTACAACAAAGTCGTGCTCTTGCTACCACCATTAAGCCTTTAGTAAGCTTCAATTTTCCTTCGCCAATATGGTGATAATATCCTTGTCGATCAAGGGTACCGATGGATATCAGATTGAGACGTATATCAGGAATATGCCTCACATCTTTCAACATCAATTGGCAGCCGAGATTAGTTCTTAAGCAGATATCACCAATTCCAAGAATTTTGGAATAGCTTTCATTCCCCATCTTCACTATGCCAAAGTCACCTTCTTTGTATGTACTGAAGAACTCCCGTTTGGACGTAGCATGGAAGGAAGCTCCATTATCAAAGATCCATTCAATGTCTCTGTCAGAGTTGCCCATATGCAGACATTCACCAACAGACAATATTTTCTGGTACATCACCACATATGACAGCGGTGGTATTGCCAGTATCATCTTTCTTCTGATTGTTTCCTTCCCTTTGCTCTCTCTTCCAAACTCGACAATTTTTCTTCATATGGCCTTCTTTGCCACAATGGTGGCATGCACCCCTGAACCTTGACTTGGATCGGCTAGGACTCCTGCCATGACCTCTAGGCCCTCTACTCGTGCTTTTTCCGCGGTTCTCTGTGACAAATACTTGGCTGCTATCTGTGCCAGAAATCTTTCTCCTTGTATCTTCATTGAGCATGCTATTTTTAACATTATCAAGAGTAAGAACACCATTAGAAGCAGAGTTACTTATACTCACCACAAAGGTCTCCCAACTGTCTGGCAAGGATCCAAGTAACAAGAGCGCTTGTAGCTCGTCCTCGATCGTCATTTTCATAGTAGCCAACTGGTTGATGATATTCTGGAAATTGTTCAAGTGTTCTGCTACACTTAAACCATCCTTGTACTTCACATTGATGAGCTCTTTGATCAAGAAGGCTTTCTTGGCTGGGGTCTTCTTCTCGAACAAGGACTCAAGCTTCGTCCAAAACTCGCGAGCATTGGTTTCATTAGACACATGGTGAAAAACACTATCATCCACCCATTGTCTAATTGTGCCAATAGCCTTGCGATTCATCTTCTTCCACTCGGCATCGGACATGCTCTCGGGCTTAGCGGCATCTCCTTCAATTGGCTCATGCAAATCCTTGCAATAGAGAATGTCCTCCATCCTTGGCTTCCATGTTACCCAATTGGAGTTGGTGAGTTTGATCATAGTGCCACTTCCTTCCATCTCGTAGTACGAGCCAACCGGCTCTGATACCACTTGTTAGGAATGTCGGTACTACAAGATAGAGAATGCACAAGGTAAAGTAGAAAATGGACACCAAGAATTTATGTGGTTCGGCAATTTATGCCTACGTCCACCAAACAAGGATCAATCTTCACTATATGAAAAAGATGAATACAACAAGAGTAGTCTTACCAAGCCAAAGACAAGGCTTGATGGATACAAGAAAGTAGGACACACACTTTCTATCACACTAAACTTCACTCACACAATGTGTAGTGGAACACTCTCACTCTCACTCTTGGAGTGGAACTCTAGCTTTGGACTTGATCCTTTGCTACTCACTACTCTCTTGATTTGTTGGTTCACTACAACATCACACTCATATTTATAGGTGAGGGTTTGGCATTCTACTAGTTTCTAGTGTATTCTTCAAACCTCTAGCATAGAAAGATCTAGACTAGCCACAAAAGTGTGGCTTCTAGATCTTTCCATTTGCAACCAAGGAAGCTAGTACTCTCTAGCTTCTTCCATCAACTTAATAACATGCTAGAATTGTCTAGCATGCTCCAGCCATCTCTCTTGCTTACTAGAATAATCTAGAACATTGATCATGGGCTGGACCATATACCAACAAAAAGTGCAACCAAATAATTTAACAAGAAGAAAGAGTGTGGCTAAAAAACACAACGGGAAATGAAGAAACTGCCAATTCCTTGTACCTCGACTTCATATATTCCCCGCATATGGCAACCTTCCATCTGGTCACATTAATAAATTCACAACTTATCTGCCAAACTAAAGGATGATACATTCCTGATCTCTTGGGATTGTTTCCTGTTTCATCATGATTTCCAGATTTCCCTGTTTTATTAAAACATTCCCTTTATGTATTCTTTGTAGATTAATTATACTTGTAAATCAAGTCATTGTACACTATTTAAATCAATGATAATGCACCCTCTAAGACATCGAGGGATTGAGCCAAAATACCTTCTTTTGAGTTATCTTTTATGGTACTCAGAGCCAGTGACTAACGTCCTTTTTTTTCTTTTTCGGATTCTTCCTACTCTTCTCCATGGCTGCCTCAACCAGTTCGACTACTCCTTCCTCCGACATCTTCCCTTCTATTTCTCATGCGATCTCCATCAAACTTGACTCTTCCAATTATCCTCTTTGGTTGGCTCAGTTGCTACCTGTTCTTCGCAGTCGTCAATTGTTGGCTTTTGTTGATGGTACTTCCATCTGCCCCTCGGCGTTCTTGTCCGACGATACCGGCAACGCCTCTTCCAAACCCAACCCCGCGTATGCTGACTGGGTTCAGAAGGACCAGCTTGTTCTTTCTTGGATCAATGGCTCTCTTGGTCACCAGGCCCTCGCCGCCACTGCTCGTCATTCCACTGCCCGTGATGTTTGGGTTGCTCTTCAGCAGCGTTTTGCTTCTACAAACCAAAGTCGCATTCTTCAGCTTCGTACTGCTTTCTTCCAGACCAAACGAGGTGATTCTTCAATTTCTGACTTTCTTGATAAGATCAATGGTATTGCAGATCAATTGGCCCTTGCCGGGGCACCTGTTTCTGCTGATGACATGGTGCCGGTCGTCATGTCTAATGTCGGCCCCAAATTTGAGAACACTGTTGCTGCTGCTCAGGCCCGTGACAACCCCATCTCCCTTTCTGATCTTGAGGCTCTTCTTCTCGCTGCTGAACTCCGCCTTGCTGATCCTCCTGCTCCGCCGGACTCCAACGTCTCGGCCCTGGTAGCCTCCCGCGGCTCTTCTGCCTCTCGTGGCCGCTCCTCTTCTGATCGCGGCGGCGATCGTGGCTCTGGCCGTTTCTCACGTGGGGGTGGTCGTCCTCAACATGATGGGTCTCGCAACAATGGTGGTGACGGCTATCGTGGCTATCGCGGTGCTGGTGGTTTCCATGACCGTCCGTTTCGCGATCGTGGTGGTGGTCGTCCTCAGCATGATGGCTCTCGCTTCCGTGGCTCCAACAATGCTTATGGGGTTCTTGGTCCAGCCCCATATCACGGTTCCTCCCGTCCTCGCTGCCAGATTTGCAATACTTTTGGTCATGGTGCTCTTGACTGTGCTCAACGCCTTAATTTGGCTTATGAAGGTCGTCCTCCTTCTTCCCGTCTCACTGCCTTGACTGCTCAGCACTCCCAGCCTTGGCTCATTGATTCCGGGGCCAACTCGCATATCACCAATGATCTCAATACTTTGTCTCAGTCCCGTGATTATCGTGGTGGTGATTCCGTCGGTGGTGTCGTTGGCGGTACAGGTTTGCCCATTAACCGTATTGGCTCCTCCACTCTCTCTCATAATAATATTTCTTTCAAGCTTAATGATGTTCTTCATTGTCCGGATGCTTCTACTTCTGTGTTGTCTGCTAATCGGTTTATGTTGGATAACAATTGTTATATTACATTGTTTCCTTCTTGTTTCTATATTCAGGATATGGAGACGGGGACGATTCTTTTTTCGGGCAAGAGTAGCAATGGCTTTTATCCCTTTTCCTCTTCATCACCGACTGCTCATGGTCGTGCTGCTTTTCTTTCTTGGTGTTCGTGTTGGTAGTGATGTCTGGCACTCTCGTCGTTTAGGCCATCCATCTTCTTCCATTTTAAAATTTCTTTTTTCTAGGCATTCGAATAAGTTGCCTGTTTCTGGCAACCTCAATCTCAATACTTTTATGTGTCATTCTTGTCCCTTAGGCAAAAGTGTTAAGTTACCTTTTTCTGCATCATTGTCTGTTACTCAAGCTCCTCTTGAGCTTATTCACTCCGACGTGTGGAGTGCGTCCAATAAATCTGTTAGTGGTTTCCAATATTATGTTCTTTTTGTTGATAATTTCTCTCGTTATTCTTGGATTTATCCCATGAAATTGAAATCTGAAGTCTTTAATATTTTTACTCACTTTAAGACCTTGGTTGAAAATCAATTCTCCACTAAAATTAAGATGTTTCAGTCTGATGGTGGGGGCGAATACACTAGTCACCAATTCAAGAATTTTTTTCTTCATCATGGTATTCATCATCGTCTCTCATGCCCTTACCATCCCGAACAAAATGGTTTGGCGGAACGCAAACACCGTCACATTATCGACACTGGACTTACTTTAATGGCCCATGCGTCGATGCCTCCTGCCTATTGGGCTGAGGCCATGCACACAGCAGTTTATCTTCTCAATCGCCTCCCCTCTAAAGTACTTGGTTTTATGTCTCCTTATCAAAAGTTGTTTCTTAAGGAACCTGATTATAGTTTTTTAAAGACCTTTGGGTGTGCATGTTTTCCTTACCTACGACCCTATAATAATAATAAACTCCAATTTCGTTCTACTAAATGTGTTTTTCTTGGTTACTCTCTCAATCATCAAGGTTATCGGTGCTTAGACATCTCTACTAACCGCATCTTTTTATCACGCCATGTTGTGTTTGATGAAGGTAATTTTCCTTTCAAGGCCATCTCTGGCTCTCTTGCCCCATCCTCCCCGGCCTCATCTCCTCCTCCTGTTTTAGAAATCACTGGGCCTCTTCCGCGTGCCCCCCGACCGTCTAGCAGCCAACCGGTGGTTGTGTCCCCCTCTTTGGAGACTCATCAATCCAGTCCATCATCCGACCCACCACAGCCGGCCCTACATGTTTACTCCCGTGACCCTCACAGGCGGGTTCTTTCTTTTGCACAAGCAGCAACCCCATCTGTCCCTCCCAGCTTCAAGAGACATTCTTTGGAGGATTTTAGAGAAGAAAGGAGTACGAGTAGCATATATCCAAGCTATACAGGATATGTATGAAGGAGCAAAGACTGCCGTAAGAACTCATGAAGGACAAACCGAAAGCTTTCCCATAACTGTAGGATTACATCAAGGCTCATCCTTAAGTCCTTACCTTTTTGCGTTGGTAATGGATGAGTTAACATGACATATTCAAGGTGATATTCCTTGGTGTATGCTTTTCGCAGACGATATAGTGTTGATAGATGAAACTCAGGAAGGGGTAAATACAAAGCTTAACCTTTGGAGAGAAGTGTTGGAATCTAAAGGTCTTCGCCTAAGCCGATCAAAGACAGAATATATGGAGTGCAAGTTCAGTGCAAATGGAGGCCAAAACGAGTTAGGGGTGAGGATCGGAGATCAAGAAATACCAAAGAGCGACCGTTTTCGTTACCTAGGATCTATCTTGCAAAAGAATGGAGAATTAGATGGAGATCTCAACCATAGAATACAAGCTGGATGGATGAAGTGGAAGAGTGCATCCGGCGTGTTGTGTGACCGCCGTATGCCACTGAAGCTCAAGGGAAAATTTTATAGGACGGCAATAAGGCCGGCGATGCTGTATGGCACAGAATGTTGGGCGGTGAAGCATCAACACGTACACAAAATGGGTGTAGCGGAGATGAGGATGCTTCGTTGGATGTGTGGGCACACGAGAAAGGATAAGATTAGGAATGAGGATATCCGGGGTAAAGTAGGAGTAGCCGAAATTGAAGGAAAGATGAGAGAAAATCGGTTACGGTGGTTTGGACATGTGCAAAGAAGGCCTACTGACGCTCCGATTAGAAGATGCGACTATGGGACAGAGGTTCAGGGCCGAAGGGGCAGAGGAAGACCTAGGAAAACTTTGGAAGAGACCCTAAGAAAAGACTTAGAGTACTTAGATCTAACGGAGGACATGACACAGGACAGAACACAATGGCGTTCTAAGATTCATATAGCCGATCCCACTCAGTGACTTGGATTTTCCAAGTCTCCAACCAAGAAGTTTTCCTCACTCGGGAAATTAAGGGAACACTACCTCAACCTATATGCTCCACTCACAAAGCTTCAACATACAAGCTTCAACAAAAGAAAATTAAAAGAACTTAGCGAAGAAGGCTTTGGTGTATTTAACACAATACGTTGAAATGAAGGAAAGCTTATTTATTGATATCCCCGATAAGTTACAAATATGTACATATACTTGAGTCAAAATAAACAAACAAGAGGGAGCCTTCACAAAGGTTGCTTAGGAGAAGTCTCAGCAGTCGGTAGAGCCCCAGAAAGAGAAGGCACCGGAGGAGGATCATTCGGAGCCTCAGTACTGGACAAAACCCTAGAAGGAGGAGGCATCAGAGGTTGATCATTTGGAGCTTCATTACGCGGTACAGCCCCAGAAGACGAAGGCAATAAATGCCTTTGGAACAAACCCACAAATCTCTGATGATCAAGTAAAACCTGACCATCAGATTCCTTCATCTGGTCAAGCTTCCTCTTCATGTTTGTAGCATAGTCATGTGCGAGCCGGTGCAACTGTTTATTTTCATGCTTGAGCCCTCTAATCTCCTGTTTGAGACTCATCACTTCAGCCGCCAATGATTCAACTTGGCGGGTTCGAGCAAATAGGCGTTGGGCCATATTAGACACAGAACCTGCACACTGAACACTGAGAGCCAAAGAATCCTTAACAGCCAACTCATCAGACCGTTTGGAAAGTAGTCTGTTATCTTTGGGAGTGAGAAGGTTCCTGGCCACTACCGCAGCGGTCATATCATTCTTCATCACGGAATCCCCAACGGTAAGAGGACCAGTAGGGGAGGCGAAGGATGGGCGCCATATATTGTCTGGAGAAGGCGGGGCTGCCTCTTCAACAAGGTTCAAGTCAAAACGACGGTCGGAGGGGCCAGACATTTTCAAAGGTGTTGAAGAGAGAAGAGGTCGGACAAATCAAGATCTTAGAAGTGCAAGAATGGAGCTTCTACTACTGGTGGATATTCAAGTGTGCTTTGGAACTTAATGTCAGCCCCTATAAAAAATCTGCACTCGACGAAGCTTCAGAAATCGAAAAGGCGCCTGCTCAGAAATCGAAGAGGCGTTTGCTTTCTCAAAAGTTGGGCTGCTCAGAGACCACGAGGGTCGATCTCAGAAATCGAAGAGGCGTTTGCTTTCTCAAAAGCTGGGCTGCTCAAAGACCACGAAGGCCGATCTCAGAAATCGAAGAGGCTTGCTTTCTCAAAAGCTGGGATGCTCAGAGACCACGAGGGCCGATCTCAGAAACCGAAGAGGCACCTACTTTTCCAGCCTTTCAGTCCGTCAGCACCTGTCACACGCACACTCAGCTTTGCGAAAATTATGGGCATTCTGTCGAAGATTTCTGACGAAGTAGAAAGCACATGAATCGTACTGTTCAATCACCCACTTCCCACACGCAACAGTAGCTCATGGGTACCACAGATAACAAACTTTGCCAAAGTTCTCTGACAAGTTGAAAACACGTTGAAGCTTGACACACGTGAAGCTTGTAGCTCCCACTACATCGCTCTGACCAAGAAAGGTAAAAGAAATTGCAAAGAAACAACACACTAACAAAGTTTAAACACATAAATTTTGAAGGTCTAGCTACCATATTATTACCCACAAGGGTAAAGGAACAGTACCACTGCTGGATAATTGGAAAGTCCCGGTGTGTTAACCTCTGTGCTTCGTGGCAAGGTAGACTAGCAAATATGCCCAACCTGTACTCACATTCGAGAAAACACTCCCAACAAGATTGCTTGCTCCAAAATTGAAGGCAGGCACGCCCTCCGAATCTCGAGAGCCAGACTCCCAACATGATTACTTTCTCAAAAATCGAAGAGAGGGTAAAGGAACAGTACCACTGCTGGATAATTGGAAAGTCCCTGTGTGTCAACCTTTGTGCTTCGTGGCAAGGTAGACTAGCAAATATGCCCAACCTTTACTCACATTCGAGAAAACACTCCCAACAAGATTGCTTGCTCCAAAATCGAAGAGGCACCGCCCTCCGAATCTCGAGAGCCAGACTCCCAACATGATTACTTTCTCAAAAATCGAAGAGAGGGTAAAGGAACAGTACCACCATTGCTGGATAATTGGAAAGTCCCTGTGTGTCAACCTCTGTGCTTCGTGGCAAGGTAGACTAGCAAACACGTCCAACCTTTACTCACATTCGAGAAAACACTCCCAACAAGATTGCTTGCTCCCAAAATCGAAGAGGCACCGCTCCTCCGAATCCTCCGAATCTCGAGAGCCAGACTCCCAACATGATTACTTTCTCAAAATTGAAGAGACACCGCTCTCCGAATCTCGAGAGCACCGCTCAGAGAGCCAGACCCCAGTAGGATTGCTTTCTCAAAATCGAAGAGGCATCGTTCTCCGAATCTCGAGAGCCAAATCCCCGACAGGATTGCTTGTTCGAAAATCGAAGAGGCACCACTTTCCCAACTTCAAGAGCTGGATCTCCTTGGATAAAGCTTATCTGTAATCTTCACACGCAACATCAGCTTTCCAGATACCACAGACCACTTTTTCAAAGTGCTCTGACAGAGTTAAAACATGTGAAGCTGGCAGCTCCCACTACCGTGCTATAACCAAGCAGGGTAAAGGAATAGCATTATTATTTGATGTTAGGGAGACTCCTATATATGTCGACCTCCATCCCTAACGGACAGGCAGACCTGCAAAAATGCTCAACCCTTCCTCTTATCTGAGAGGGCACTCCCAACGAAGCCTTTCGAAATATTCAGCTTTCTTTCCCCCCGATAATACCTCTGTAAACAAGCTATACTAGAGCAAGAATATCTCATATCATCATCAGGGTTAAAAGCAAGAGTATCCCATATCATGCTTTTTCCCTGTCTTTTCCTTTGGCCTTGTTCTTACCTGCAAGACAAGGAGAAAGAGAGCAATCAGTCAGCAGCACTTGGAATCAAGCTTCCAGCCAGGAACTGACTGCCTGGAACCCCTTACCTGATTACTTACCTGGCATTGCTCTCGAGTACTCATCTTCAACATCTTATGCTTCCAGGGAAGATACCGCATCTGCCTGAGGAACAAATAGGGCAAGTGAGAAGGATACAAGGAAGCATGTGGAGACAAGCGTAACAGTACACGTGCCGATACATCCACTACTCTGTCAAAAGCAAAAGTATCCCATATCAGCAGGGTCGAACGTACTCTAGATTTGATGGACTTGTTTTTGACCCTCAAATTCTTCAGTCGGCCTTATACTCTGGAGGAAACCAGAAAACCCTCCAGCCCAGTTCAAGAATAAGCCTGTGGAAAGTTACTTCTTCAAAAGCAAAAGTATCCCATATCATCTCTCCTCATTTTTCTTCTCTTTATCCTTCATGCTGCCTGCAAGATAGGAAGAATGTGAACAATCAGCCGGAGCTCTGATTGCTTACCTTGTCTGTCACCTCTTTCAGCAGATCCCCTAGCTCGGCGACTTGGGGGACTCCTACTACATGGTTTGTATCGCGCTTGACCAAGCATGAAACTACAAGTAAGCTTCAAGTGAAATTGATACATTACCTTGTGCATCTCCACCAGTTACAGATACCACCCCTGGATGGAGGAAGAGTACTTCCAGAGAAGATGCCACATCTACCTATGAGACAGATAAGGCAAGTCAAGACGATACCACACTCCGGTACTTAGAAGTTTCGTGGCTACGAGATCATTCTCCCACAATATTTCCTAATGTCATTTGTACTAAATCATTCACTTGTACTCACTAAAGGAGAGCTTGAACCTATGTACTTGTGTAAACCCTCTATTCCGTGGACGTAGCCAATCTGGGTGAACCACGTACATCTTGTGTTTGCTTTCCTATCTCTATCCATTTATATACTTATCCACACTAATAACCGGAGCAATCTAGCGAAGATCACAAAAAGTGACCGTTTTCGCTACCTAGGATCTATCTTGCAAGAGAACGGAGAATTAGATGGAGATCTCAACCATAGAATACAAGCTGGATGGATGAAGTGTAAGAGTGCATCCGGCGTGTTGTGTGACCGTCGTAGGCCACTGAAGCTCAAGGGAAAATTTTATAGGACGGTAATAAGGCCAGCGATGTTGTATGGCACAGAATGTTGGGCAGTGAATCATCAACGTACACAAAATGGGTGTAGCGGAGATGAGGATGCTTCGTGGGATGTATGGGCACACGAGAAAGGATAAGATTGGGAATGAGGTTATCCGAGGTAAAGTAGGAGTAGCCAAAAGTGAAGGAAATATGAGAGAAAATCGGTTCCGGTGGTTTGGACATGTGCAAAGAAGGCCTACTGACGCTCCGGTTCGAAAATGTGACTACGGGACAGAGGTTCAGGGCCGAAGGGGTAGAGGAAGACCTAGGAAAACTTTGGAAGAGACCCTAAGAAAAGACTTGAGTACTTGGATCTAACGGAGGACATGACACAAAACCGAGCGCAATGGCGTTCTAGGATTCATATAGCCGACCCCACTTAGTGGGAAAAGGCTTTGTTGTTGTTGTTGTTGTTCCTACTCTTCTCCATGGCTGCCTCAACCAGTTCGACTACTCCTTCCTCCGACATCTTCCCTTCTGTTTCTCATGCGATCTCCATCAAACTTGACTCTTCCAATTATCCTCTTTGGTTGGCTCAGTTGCTACCTGTTCTTCGCAGTCGTCAATTGTTGGCTTTTATTGATGGTACTTCCATCTGCCCCTCGGCGTTCTTGTCCGACGATACCGGCAACGCCTCTTCCAAACCCAACCCCGCGTATGCTGACTGGGTTCAGAAGGACCAGCTTGTTCTTTCTTGGATCAATGGCTCTCTTGGTCACCAGGCCCTCGCCGCCACTGCTCGTCATTCCACTGCCCGTGATGTTTGGGTTTGCTCTTCAGCAGCGTTTTGCTTCTACAAACCAAAGTCGCATTCTTCAGCTTCGTACTGCTTTCTTCCAGACCAAACGAGATGATTCTTCAATTTCTGACTTTCTTGATAAGATCAATGGTATTGCAGATCAATTGGCCCTTGCCGGGGCACCTGTTTCTGCTGATGACATGGTGCCGGTCGTCATGTCTAATGTCGGCCCCAAATTTGAGAACACTGTTGCTGCTGCTTAGGCCCGTGACAACCCCATCTCCCTTTCTGATCTTGAGGCTCTTCTTCTCGCTGCTGAACTCCGCCTTGCTGATCCTCCTGCTCCGCCGGACTCCAACGTCTCGGCCCTGGTAGCCTCCCGCGGCTCTTCTGCCTCTCTTGGCCGCTCCTCTTCTGATCGCGGCGGCGATCGTGGCTCTGGCCGTTTCTCACGTGGGGGTGGTCGTCCTCAACATGATGGGTCTCGCAACAATGGTGGTGACGGCTATCGTGGCTATCGCAGTGCTGGTGGTTTCCATGACCGTCCGTTTCGCGATCGTGGTGGTGGTCGTCCTCATCACACCCCGTAAGCACTTATTCAAATACAAAGAAAGTGCAATACCTATTTCCCAGCAAAGTAGCGGCCATTGACAGATTGATAAGCAACAACAGCTGAATCCATTGATTTGTAGTGTATGTACACATTTCCCCGCAAGTGGAATGCACCATTTCTGCAAACCTGACACAGATACTCCATGTGTCGCTGTAAGATTACCAACCGAAAATATGTATGGCACGAATATGAAAGTAACAAGAAGAAGTCTAGAATTTCAGCCGATTGCCCTTATACTTTTGAAAACAGATGAAGTGTTTTGGTATCACAAAGAAGCTGTCAGGAACCTTGAAATTTATAATTTCTCCAAACCTCAAGAATTCCGTATGCACATCCTCATAAAATTCTTCATAGCAGCGCTCAACCTCCTCATCAGTATACTGAAAAAAGGGAAGCAACATGAAACCAGAAAAATTATACTCATCAGCATATACTAAAATAGAAAGAGGCAACTGGCCTATCCCAATATTAAATTTTGTCAAGATACAAAACAGGTGAGCCATACATCCTCAGCCAAAACACGGAAACACCAGGGTGTTCAGAAAGGTATGGCAACTGTTTAAAGATACTAAGAATGACTGTTTTAAAAAATGAACAAAATTGCAACTTTGCATTATAAAAAGGTGTACTTGACTTGAATATCAACATAGATGAGTTCAGATTCACTCACTAAAGCACATGTCTCCACCAAATATAATAGAAACAAAATCCATCTGATACCTTAAATAGTTATTTTAAAAGAATTACAGGGACAAAACTAGGGTTGCCTTATTTTGTTTTCAGGTTCTAACTTGTAGCATATGTCAACTAACAAAAAAAAAAACATCGTACATGCAAAGATATACCTGAAAACAAATGAAGGAAAACATAACACAACATAGTGACACTCAAAGATCAACCCAATACAATAGAATCTTAGAGAAAAACTGTAAACGGAAAATCGGTAACTATATCATCGAAATAAGAAAAGTTTTCCATTTCTAACCAAACATTCTGCATAAAAAAAGCTAATTATATGATTTGTACCTATTTTTTTCTCAGTGAAAAGAAAAAATTTTATTAAAACAAAAATTTACAATCAGTGAACAAGAAGCACACCGGCAGCCATAAACAAAACGGCATTAACAAAGATGTACGGCAACCACATAGAAAACTATGATTGCCAGTTCATTATAATGCTTACTAATAAGGATCATAATAATACAAAGTCCAAATGAATTATTTACATTCTTCGGTTCTGATTATGGAAAAAATAAGCAATTCACTTTCAAAATAGATTCTTTGTTCTTTTCATTTCATTTGCCTTTGACATGTTTAGAGTGAGTAGAGTTAACTGCATTCAGATACTTCTAAAGTTGTAGCCAACCATCACAAACTGTGGGATGTCAGATGTGATATCAGACAGCTTTAACACCTCCCACGACAGATATATTGCCCAACAAACTATGAGTTGTTAAGGAAGAAAACTTGTAGATTACTACAGTAAACTCACGAACTTATGAAACAATTGAACACAAAAAAGAAAGAAAAATAATCTCAATATGGACACTGAAGCATAATATCTCTCACTGGCATAAAATAAAAGGAACATCATGATGAAAGACGACTATAAGATCCCTTAAAAAATACATATTTTCTTGTAACTCAGCTTTCTTTTAATTGATAAAATGTTATGTTTGTGATTAAAATAAAGGTTACTTCCAAAGCATGAGACCACATGTGCAGAGATACATGTCAACACACACTGGGTTAATATAGGTGTAAAGAAGAAATAAATAGGGAAGAAACCTTATGACATAAAGGTAAGAAGATTAAGAAAACAAGGCAAACGTTATGTGGTAACACGTTACTATTGCCAGCAAGGAAGGATACACTATTGGGGTATCTTTGATTCCAAGAACCAAGGCCGAAAGCTTGAACCCCCACCAAAGTGGATCTCACAAATGAATCTCTGATCAATCAAGTCAAAGAAGAAGAGTACCATTTCACAAATGAACAGACTATAAAATGAACTAAGCCACATACCTGAACTAGGAAAAAACAAATAACAGCTCAAAAAAAAAAAATGATACAACAGTCTATGATGGTAGAAAACAACCACAAACAACAGGGAAAAAAAAAAGGTTCATTTGATGTCAGATATGCCTACTTAACATAGTAGGATTAGAAACAATAAACCAAAGGTTTCACAGATTTGGGAAGGATATGAAAACCCCCAAAGTTAGAATTAGGATACAAGAATCACGGGAAGGCATGGCAGCATTAACAGACCTCGAGCCCCTCATCCTGCTCCCAAGCAAGGCCGGGACCATTGTACATGTTCTTGATAAGCAGTGTGGAAGATTTATCAGGACAGAAATGGACTCTGCTACAACGCTGACCAAACCGACAAGCTCCAGTTTTCAAATGGAAAGGGCAATGAGCTTTATCCTGTCAGATATAAAAGTACACAACTTAAAGATTATAGATCATTCACTGCTGATCAAAATGGCAGTCAACTCGTGAAATATAAGAAGTATTATCAGAGCTATAAAGACTAAAGAGTTCCCAACACACAAATGGGTAATAAGGGCAAACATGAGATGATAAAGGAACACCTGTTCAGTTCCAAAATGGGGTACTTGTTGAGCAACACTCTCAATCAGCTGCTGTGCTGACATTGATGAACTTTTATAATCAGAAAAAGCTTCAGATTGTGGAGGGAGAGGATTTGACGTAGGCCTATTAGAATCCTGTCAAATAAATGACAACCTCCACAATTTAAACTGATTGGTTAAACCAAAAATGAAACTCATCTGTAGGATAATCTATCCTACAATATATCTAAACAAAGTTCCAGATTCATGTTGCACACCTTTCTAGTTTCTTGGTCTCTGTTTTTCTTAGGAATCTTGACCGTTTTCTTCTTGAGAATTATGTCATTTCCTTGCCAGATGATTTCAGCAGGTCCTCCTTCATAGTCTCACTCATCAACCTCATTACCGTCATTTTCATTTTCAACCTGCCATACATACCACAAGCAATAGTGAAAACCCATTTTTAAGGCAATAAGTATATTTCCTCCCAAACTATTTCCAAACCAAAATAAATTTGAACCATAATGCTAAGAAGGAGTTGATATGCCCTATAAATAGCATTTTAAACTATCTTACTTCAAGCAGACAATGTATATGCCTTACCCCGTCAAATATAGCTGAAGCGCTGACCAAACATTAGCAACGTTCATTTCACAAACACTATATTTTTGTTTCCAAACCAAGACCATGCCTCTTACCACAGGCATGAAGCTATCATATCACCTGACAACAGAAGCATCTTGCAACCCATATAGAAGGATCACTACTCCACAAAACGGCATACAAATGATGCTACCTTCACTAAACAACTTAACCAAAAATAAACAAAAGGAAATCGTACATGTGACAGAATGCAGTTAAAGCACCAGTACGAATAGCATAATTAGAATCCAGAAAGCGAATGACAAATAATATAATCAGCAATACTATTCTTCCTGAGCTACATTACGTCACTAAATCAACCAAGTGTCTCTGTTTATCGTATTTCGAGCACATTCTCAAACACCAACTGAACAAATAGATCAATGAACTACAAAACTATGATGCTAATTTACGTAATCGAAATTCGAAAATTGCAGTCCAAAGAATAAAGGTTGATAAACAAAACAACCTGTTGATTCCGAGACAATTCGTCTTCTTCCTCACGAGCCTTGGTTCTTGTTCGTTCTTCCTCTTCTTCTTCTTCTTCGATTTGTTTCTTCCTCTTAACCTCCATCGCCAGATTTTCATGCCGGGTTCTGGAAGAAGGAAATTATATGCATGCCGGGTTTAAAATACAAAATCACACTCAAACTTTATCTCAGGTGAACCGGGAGAAGGTATATGTAATAATTAATAACCTAATACAAACCCTAAGTTACGAAGGAATCCTACTACTTACAGGAAACTATTTTAGATTCCAATTCCGAGTATAATTGGGGTTTGTTTCCCAAAACTATATATAGAGGAGTTGAAAAGCTTTTGGGTTGATACATTTGGGTTTCTCAGATACGTCTTGGCGGAGAGGTGGTCGTCTTCGTTGGGGAAATTGACCTTGGCTTTTTTGCCGCGGATTTTGCGAGCCTCCCTGTAGTAAGCTCGGGCCGCCTCCTCGGCGGTGTTGAAGGTACCGAGCCAAACTCGAACTCCTTTTCTGGGATCACGAAACTCGGTAGAGGTTCTTCCTCTGCCTCTTAGCTGGCTTCTCTTCTTGCACATCACCTGAAACAGGTTGGGATATTTTACGTGGAATTGAATCGGTGCGATTAACTGGGGTGGGATTGCAGTCGAAGAAAGTGTCGGAATCGAACTTGGCGAAGGGAGAGTCCGGCCATATATCAGGGTTTAAACTTTTCTTAGAAACAAGAGAAGCCAATGGAGTCGTCACTTGGAAAGTTAATTTCTAAATCTCTAAAGAGACCTGGCGATTTATTTTTCCTCACCCATGGCAGCGAACTGGCCTCTCCTGACCTGCAGACTAAAAAATTTCGCATGACTTACAAGGCAAGCATGGAGTACAGTGGACTTAAACCGACGGCCCATCGGCAAAATCCCGCCGCCGACTGCGATGAATCGTCCAATGCTCTTCCCCTTGATCCAAATCCTAATACTGCTAGGAGCCCTTCAATCACCCAAGGAGCTCAAAACGCTGATTTGTTTTTGAGTTCCGCACCCAACAAGGCCAAGGCGCTGATTAATATTGCTGATGGCACTTCCGTTTTTTTTGCTCCTGGTTCGCCCCGTTCCCGCGATCAGAGGTGTTCAACAACAACGCTGGATCTAGCCCGAAATTGGCCACGTCCCATTTGGCATAGCCCGTGGAAGATTTACAGGGTCATCAGTGGCCACCTAGGATGGGTTCGCTGTGTTGCTTTTGATCCAAGCAACAGATGGTTCTGTACAGGATCTGCAGACCGGACAATCAAAATATGGGACGTAGCAAGCGGGACGCTACAACTTTCTCTTACCGGACACACTGGGCAAATACGAAGCCTTGCTCTTAGCACCAGGCAACCCTATTTGTTCTCGGCTGGCGATGACAAACAAGTCAAATGCTGGGACCTTGAACAGAACAAGGTTATCCGTTCGTATCACGGTCATCTTAGTGGCGTCTACAGCATGGCTCTCCATCTGACTCTTGATGTTTTAGTCACCGGGGGACGGGATAGCGTATGCCGTGTTTGGGATGTTCGTCTCAAGAATGCGCAAGTTCATGCATTGACTGGGCACGAAGATGCAGTTTGCTCCCTTCTCACCCTCCCAACAGATCCACAAGTTATTAGTGGGTCTCACGATACAACTATCAAGCTGTGGGACCTTAGAAAGGGAAAAACCTTTTCAACTTTAACGCATCATAAGAAATCGGTACGGGCAATGACACATCATCCTAAGGTAGATCGGGGTAATTGCTTCGCATCGGCTTCGACAAACACCATAAAAAAGTTCAACCTTCCGAGGGGTGAGTTTTTGCACAACATGCTCTCCCAACACAAGTCCATTATCAACGCGATGGCCGTCAATGAAGATGGAGTTATGGCTACAGGAGGCGACAACGGTAGCTTGTGGTTTTGGGATTGGAAGAGCGGCCACAACTTCCAGCAATCCCAAACAATTGCACAACCGGGCTCGCAGGAGAGTGAAGCTGGGATTTATGCTGAAACACCCCAACCCCATTTTATTTAAAATTTTTTTTTAAGGTCTTAATTGGTGAGCCCGTAGGGCCCACCTTATATTTTTTTTTGTTTTCCCCCGGTCTCTCTCTTCCTTCTTCGTCTCTCTCCCCCATAACTCTCCCTTAGCTCTCTCCCTCTCAGCTATCCCGTACCTCTCTCCCTCAACCTCTCGCATCTCTCTCTTCCCCTGGACTCACTAGGACCGAGTCACCATCGAAGAGAGGCTCGCAACGAACTAGGGATCCCTGCACTGCGGCTCGACGACACGGAGCAAAGCTCCGGCGAGTTTTCCCCATTTTTTTCCGTCGGGTAGGTCTCAAATCTCTCACTCTCGTACCTAGTTCTTGGTTTGGTTGTGATTTAGAAGCTTGAACCTTACCTTTTTACGTAGGTTTTTGCTTCGGAACGGTCGTGGGTGAGCACACCCACTTTTCCGGTGAACCCGTGCACCCCGAGGACTTTCCCGGTCACCTCCGACCGAGTTACGACGTTTGGAAGGTATAAATCTCTTCATCTCTCCTTGTGCTTCACGTTCGTACCTAGATCGGAGCTTGAAGCTCCAGTTTTCAGGTGACCGGAGCTGTAGCAGCTCCGGCCTTCTCTCTCGGCAAGCCACAGGCCAACCGGCCTTTCCCATTTCCTTTCCCACGGGCCTCCAGCCCGTTTTGCCTTAGCCCAGTACCCTAACCCATTCCATTTTTATTTTTAGTTATTTAAATTTTTTAAAGCCCAAAGGGCTCGGGCCCTAGCTTTTGTTTTGGCCTTGGGCCGGTTTTTAATCAAGGGCTTAAAGCCCTGTTTTCTGTAGTGAGGCCTGAGGGCCTTGTGCCCGTGTGTGTGTGTGGCTAAGTTTATATGTTTGGGCTTAATGCCCAAACCCCTTTCCATCCCCTTTAATTCTAAAGCCCTAGGTTCCCAAAACCCATTAAAAACCCTAAACCCATCCAATCCCAAATCCCTTATTTAAATTAATTCAAAACCAATCTTTTAGAAAAATCATTTTATTAATTATACATTCTTGTTCTTAGGTAAAATTGCTAGTGGAGAAATTCTAAATCCTTATTCGCGCGACTCTTCTGCTAAGGAATATTTGTGAGTGGACCCTTTCTAAAATTACATGATTTTATAGTTTAATTGCATAAATGATTAGCATGCCTACGAATTTATGAAGTGATTTATGTGAAGCCTGTTGATTAAATATATTGATTATCGTCTCGTGTTTTGGTGAGGAATTAATTGTTAGCCTATACTGAGCTATATTTCAATATATCGTATTTTCTATAAAAACCATGAACTGGTAGACTATCTGACAGATGACGATAGGATGCTAGAACATGTTTTTGAACCCCTCTTTATAGCGTAGACGATATTCGGTAACCTATGCTATGAAGTGGTTATTTAAGAGAGACGTAACTATTTGTGCGTACCTAGTGGACACTATGCCGCCTGGGGCGAGGATCTGGTGTTGGCATGTAGGCCGGGAGAAATAATCCCTAGCGAAAGGCTGAGGGACACGGAGACAGGCATTGGGCCGGGAAGGAGTTATCTCTGGCTACGGGCACAGAGACTGAGGTGCAGGCATTGGGCCGGGAGTTATATTTATTCAGTGATCTTTCTAGCAGCACACCGCGTTTACGAGACGATTTACGAGACGTTTACTGTTTTGATTTTCCGCGATGTTATTCCGCGATATGGCTTTTTGAGATACTTTGGTATGCTAGGATTTCTTATTAAATCCATCACTTACTATGCTAGTAGTTTTCACTATTAAACTTTGGGGGTTAGTATGTTGATAATTGTTTTATTATTATTATATATATATAAACTTGGTCCACTCACCTTTGTTTTGCGCCCCCATTCAGGACTTAGAATCAAGGCACCTAATCCCGGCGTGGAGACACTTCCGCAGCAGCATCTTCGGATCCTCTCGATGTAGGACCCACTCCTTTATTCATTAAATTTTATCTTAATTCCTTTTAATGATTAGGTTTAATTGTATGCTCTGAGCACGTTCCTAAATTATAAATTCTTGGTATTTTAAATTCATAACCCTTATTTATTTCTTATTCTTAGCTTTTGTATCAATTAATGGCTTTCGTCACCCTCGGGTGTCGGCCAGCACGTGTCTATCCTGGTATTCGGGGAATATCAGGGTCGGGGCGTGTCATATGCTCTTTGCTATGATGTCACTGGCACAAGGCTGGTTACTTGTGAAGCTGACAAGACAATCAAGATGCGGAAACAAGACGAAAAGGCCACCCGGGAAACTCATCCTCTAAATTTTAGGCCTCCTAATCTTAAAGACGTTGGGCGGTTCTAGTCTTACTTTGTCACTACGATATTGAAGTTTACAACTTTTTTATAATGTTTATTTTAATTTTTTTTTTTATTTGAGAAACTGGATCCGATTAAAGCCAGGGCAAAGAAGCCAAAGGAACAACTTTTTTATAATGTTTATTTTAATTCTGCTTCATAATGTATGCGTTACTCATGGCTTGAATTTTATATGCGCAATTCAATTGCTTAATTGTAGTTCAAAACTTGGTTTGTTCTAGTTAAAAAAGTAGTATAAGACCGCAGCATAAAAGCATGTACTTAAAGATCACATATAACATTATTGACTAGATTGACCAAAATGTCTCGTTCAATACAACTTCATACATGAATTAGTCAAGTGACAAGATATGGAACCATCAAACTTTGAAAATGTTTCAAACTTCTCTACCTCTTTTTTTTGAGAAGAAACGAGAGAAAATATAGAAAAAGAGGGCAAAACAAGGAAAGAAAAGGACAGCCAAGTGGACAAGATAACCACCAGGCGCAGGGAAAAAGCCAGGAGAAAACCCCTGAACTAGAAAAAAACTAAACTAGAAAAACAAGAAAGGCTACGCCAAATCAAAAGACAGCTGCCACCAAATCCCTAGCTATTGAAAGAGGATTATAATCTCTAAACTCAGCAGCCACAGAAGACCATAGAGCAGCCCAGTGTTTCGTTTTATCCCAGAGCTCCTCGACTTCAACTCCCATGTAGTCCTCAAAAACTCTTTTGTTACGCTCCATCCAAATGTTCCAGAAGAGGGCCATCAGCAGGGAACCCCACAAGGATTTGGCTTTCCTCCCTTTTCCTAAGGCATCAAACTCGGTGCTTAGAAGCTCAAAACAGCCCTTTGGGATGACCCAGACTGCTCCAACTTCCTTGAGCAAATTCCACCAGAGTTGGATACTGTACGGGCAATGGAGGAACACGTGATTGACACTTTCCTCCCCTGACTTACACAGAACGCACCAATGTGGAGAAAAACAAGTATAGGGCATTCTCCTTTGGATTTGATCACAAGTGTTAACTTTCCGAAGCGCCACTAGCCACACCAGGACTTTAACTTTTGGGGGGACCTTTTCCAGCTTTCCAAATCTGAGACGGGAAGGAAGAATTGTTGCACAGAATCGTTTCGTTTCGAAGGAAGGAGAAATAGGACTTGCAGGTGAACTGGCCGGAACCTTCCAAAATCCACCTTCTCCTGTCAGCTCTGGAAAAGACACAGCCGCACAGCTCCCACCTTCTGCAGTAAACCGGCCACCTCTTCAATCTCAGATTCTCTAAGGTTTCTCCTGAAATCGAAATTCCAGCTTACCGACTGTAAAGAAGGAACCGTCAGCCGTGAAATGCTCAGGTTTTTTGTCGTAGAAAGCATGAATAATCTGGGGAAGATATCTTTCAAAAGACCGCCCTCCAGCCAGCCATCCTCCCAAAACCTCAGCCTCTCCCCGTTACCAAGCACAAAACTTGCAAGATAGAAGAAAAGACGGGGAACCAGCCGAGATTTCGGACCACGGACATCTGCTTGAGCCCCGCCTCGGGGGATTAGCGTCCCAGCCGTTAGCGTGCAGACCATACTTGCTCCTAATCACCTTGTGCCAAAGAGAATTAGGTTCAAGAGGGAATCTCCACAGCCACTTGGCTAGTAGTGCGACATTCCGAAATCTCAAATTTCCCAGGCCAAGGCCTCCGTCCTCCTTACTCTTGCAAACATCCCCCCACTTGACTAAGTGAAACTTCTTTCCCTCCCCCACCCCCTCCCAAAGAAACCCATTCATAAGCTTCTCCAGTTTACGAATGACCCCACATGGGACTTTGAAAAGGGACATGTAGTACACGGGCAAAGAACCCAGGACGGCTTGAATCAGGGTTAATCTTCCTCCTCTGGATAAAAAAGCTTTCTTCCAACCTTGGAGCCTCAATTCCACCTTCTCGACCACCGGATCCCAAAACTTAATAGACTTTGGCTTTCCACCTAGAGGGAGGCCGAGGTACGACATTGGCCAAGCGCCCACCTCGCAACCCCAAGAGCTTGCAAGCCTATAAATCTTCTCACAGTCAGAATTAATACCCACCAAAGAACACTTAGTTTTGTTAATCTTCAGGCCAGACACCTTTCCAAAAAGATCCAGTAAAAGCAGCAGATTATTCCAATTCTCCTCGTGCCCATTCAAGAAGAAGATGGTATCATCCGCAAATTGAAGGTGAGAGATCTCCACGTTATCGACTCCGACGCGCAAACCCTTGATCAAATGATTACCTTGGGCCTTCTCAATCATCCTGCTCAGAACATCAACAACAAGGGTGAACAAAAACGGGGACAACGGATCTCCTTGTCTCAGACCTCTAGATGCTTTGAATTTACCTCTGGGTCTTCCATTAATCAAAACAGAAAAATTAGCTGTGCCAAGGCACCCAAGCATCCAATTCCTCCATCTAAACCCGAAACCCTTTCTTAAAAGAACTTCCTCCAAAAAGCTCCAGTCAACGTGGTCATAGGCCTTTTCAAAATCGATCTTGAAGACCAAGCCCTCCTCCTTCTTCTGCCTTACCTCTTCGACCACCTCATTAGAGACGAGAACGGCGTCAAGAATTTGTCTACCTTTAACGAAAGCTCCTTGGGAAGGGGAAATTGTACTACCCATAACCTCCTTTAGTCTGTTAGCAAGGACTTTGGTCACGATCTTGTAAAGGCTGGTAACTAAACTTATAGGCCTGTAGTCCCTCAACTTCACAGAATCTGGCTTTTTCGGAATGAGGCATATGTAAGTTTCATTTGTCACTGCATTAATAATTCCATTTTCATAGAATTCCTCCAGCACCCTCAGGATATCCCCTTTCAAGATTTCCCAGCAACTTTGAAACAAATGCATAGAAAAACCGTCCGGGCCTGGGGATTTATCCTTTCCGCAGTCGAAAACTGCATTATGGACTTCGAGCTCCTCGAACGGCCTCTCAAGCCAATCTGCCTCACCTGCACTAATTGAGCACCAATTGATTCCTTCTATCCCCCAACACGTCTCTTCGTTGCAGCTGTACAGAGACTTGAAAAAATTGATGGTTTCGGCTTCAATCTCCTCTGCCCCTTCTAATATTCTGCCATCTTCTGTCTCCAATCTCTCTATAAAGTTTCTCTTTCTTCTCCCGCTAGCAATCTGATGAAAGAATCTAGTGTTTCCATCCCCTTCTTTGGCCCACTCCACTTTGCTTCTCTGCCTCCACTTAACTTCTTCCTTCCAAGCCAAATCTTCCGCAAGAGAACGAAGCTCTTCTCTTTTTCTTTTCAAAACCGGGTCAAGACCTTCCCTCCCTTCCTTGATGTCAATTTCCTCCAGGTTGGCCTTAACCTCCTTGAGGATTTTCTCAGTGTCACCAAAGACCTCCTTGCTCCAAACTTGCAACTTAATTTTAAGAAGTTTCAATTTACTGGAGAATTTGTAACCCTCCCAACCTTCGACAAGCTCAGATTGCCACCACTCTTTGAAGTTGTTCATGAAATCGGGGTGATGAAGCCAAGAATTTTCGAACCTAAAGGGGCCCGGCCCCCACTTCACCTTGCTGGTGTTTAATTCGATAGGGCAATGATCAGAAGTTACCCTGGCCAAGGCCTTCTGCCTCACGTGAGGGAACGACTCCTCCCACCCTTCAGAGAATAAGAATCTGTCTAATCTTCTGCAAACCACTTCGTCTCGAAAATTAGACCAAGTGAACTGAGCGTTGTGCAGATCCGGATCGATGAGACCCGAGTCCTGGATGAACTGGTTAAAAATCCTCATACTGGAGGAGGATCTTCCCCCGTTAGACTTCTCGCCAATAAATCTTACCACATTAAAATCCCCTCCCACACACCAATTAGGACCGCACAGACCATACAGGCCCGCAAGTTCTCCCCAGAAATCATGTCTCTCCCTACTTTTGCACGGTCCATAGACCCCAGAGAGCCACCAATCCGTACCATTATGCTCTCTAATTTTAATGGAAACCGAAAATGCGCCAACAAGAGATTCAACAACTGAGATAACTTTGGTGTTCCAAATCACCACGATGCCCCCAGAGCTTCCTTGTGCAGGAGCATAAACCCATTCTTTGAATTTGCTTCCCCACACGCTAGCCACAAGCTTGCGGTCTACCCTGGCACATTTGGTTTCTTGTAAAATAATAATGTCAGCCCGAACCCGGCGAAAATAATCCTTCAAAAGGACCCTTTTCCTTCTGCTGCCCAGACCTCTAATGTTCCAACTGATTATCTTCATTAATAATAACCGAAGCCCGTTTGTTCTTCCTGCTCTCCCCGCAGACTGCCCGCCACCCCAAGCTCTTTCCGGGGAATAGGGATTTTTTTAAAGGCAGCAGCGAAATTTTCATTTTTGACAAAAATTCGCTGGATCGACCTGAGCTCTCCCCATAAGCAGAGGTCCGACTCGACCTTTTCCTTCTGCAATATTTTTGAGCACCTTGTTTTTTACGACAGGATCCTTCAAAATACTTTTGGTCAGCCGCATCTTCGTCTACACTATCGTCTACTTCGAACACCTTGGGCGAATCCCCCTCACTGACCGAAAATAGTTTCTGCAAAAAGCCTTCACCACTTTCAATTGGATCGGTGGATGCCAAATTCTGATGTGGCGACTCCCCAAAATTTTCTTCTGAGTCAGACCCTTGACTCCACGTAGCATCCTGTGCAGGCGACACATGGCTGAGGTAATCAAAATCCACAGTAGTAAAGAATTTTGAGGAGGAGAAATTGCC